GTAGAGCTGGATGAACACAGCAGGTCAAGCAGCATCAGAGGAGCAGGTAAGCTGATGTTTCGGGCCAAGACCTTTCTTCAGAAACGTCAGCCTTCCTGCTCCTCTGATGCTGCTTGGCCTGCTGTGTTCATCCAGCTCTACACCTTGTTATCTCAGATTTAAATTGAATTGGCTTTCAATCACTAAGTGCTTGATTTAAATTAATTGGCTGATTCCAGCTCATTGCCAAAACATCAAAACAAACCTTGGGTTTCCAATCAGTCAGCCAATTAATACATGTTTCAATTTCAGAATCTTCAGCTACATACAGTGTAAATTTCTAAGCTTAGAAAAGCACTCTATCTCTTAAAGGGACCACACACTTTGTTTTTTTTTAACAAAGAAATTCTAACTTCCTTCCTTCCAATTCACGATTACTCTATACAACTTCATAACAATATAGACAACTTAAATAACTGGGGCAAAAAAAAACTCAGTCAATGCTATATAGTGTCAGGAAATGTGAAGTGATCAATGTTAGAAAGAATAGAGGGGCTAAATATTATTTAAATGGAGAAAGACTGCAGAAAGCTACAGAACATAAATTCACACAGTGAAATACACAGGCATATACTGAATCACAAAGGTATAAACACACAAGTACACACACACAGAAACAAGTGTAGGGTCAATCGCACACATGTATACACAAAGGCACACATACCCATGCACAAGGCATAATGCAGACAGAAGGACAGGTACATGTGTGCACACACAGACAGAAATACATATAGAGACAAGCCCTCACAGAGGCACACTTTCTCACCCTCAGATACATTTCTCTCACACAGTCACACTTTCTCTCACACACACTCATCATCAAAGACACATAGACTCACACTCGCACGGTCTCATAACCATATGCAAAGACACATACAAACACAGAAACTGACACATGCAAACATGTAATGACTCACACGCCCAAATTCACAGAGATATATTAAACAGACAGGCATCCGCACACAGTCAGGCAGACAGGAACAAGGACCTACATACACATTAACAATCTTGCACAAACAAACAGATACACACATAGGGGTTCACAGCCATGCAATCGAATACATATGTACACATATTCTGTCAAGCAGTCTCTCAAACACACACACACACACACACACACACGCTCTCACACACACTCACACATAATCTCACGTATACCTGCACACTCACAGACTGCATATACATGCTGTCGCACTCACTGATACACACTAACACATACTCACTCACAGACTCATACACATGCATATACATACAAGCACCAATCCAGGCATGCCTGGGAGTTCATGTTGTTTCAAACTCTGTATGTGGGTGTCACTGATGATGCCAGCGTTTATTCCCCATCCCTAACTACCCAAACGATACTTCGGATCAACCACGTTACTGTGGGTCTGGAGTCACATGTAGGGCAGACCAGGTAAAGATGGGAGATTTCCTTCCCTGAAAGACATTAATGAACTTGATGGGGTTTTCTAACAATGGACAATGGGCTCGTGGTCATCAGTAGGTTGTTAATTCCATGTTTCTTTTTCAAATTTCACCATCTATCATGGCGGGATTAGAAACCTGATCCTCAGAACAATAGCTGGGTCTCTGGTAAAACAAGCTATACCACAAGGGTGTCACCTCCTCTAAAATGGAGGTAGAAAACCTCACAACATTTAAAAAGTAGTTGGATGAGCTCTTGAAATGCCGCACACACACTTGTAACCGCAGACACATACTGTCTCCCACAATTGCAGACACAGACACACGCACACTCCCACCTGCACTCACACACAGACAGATGCAGAGACACATAGTCACACTCATTCAAACACACAGACATGCACACACAGAGACCTATTCTCACACACAAGCACACACGCATGCATACATACACACACACTCGACTGTCAATGGCAAAATAGGTGGAGACAGGTGACGTTGAAATGAGAACAATGTCTTTCTGCAGCTCTTAAATGGAAGCATTGTTTTCATTCTCTCAATACTTCGGGAAGGCAGATCCCCCTTTTAAACACCTGAGCGCTCCAATTAAACAACAGGTCAATGGAGAAGAATGGTTAAATTGTGGAATCCCTGATTATTTGAGATATCTGCTAATCACCAGTGTTTGCTCATGGCTGAAAGCGGCAGAAAATGTCCAAGGAAGTTGTCAGTTAACTTAGAAATAGTTTGTTCAGTGCAGTTTGTTTTGAAGTAAATTATATATGAGAACAATAATGACTCTGTAGAAAGAGTCATATATGCAGATATATGCAGCTGCAGCTGTTTCCATTAAAATAGTCGGATCAGAGCACACTGCATAGTGAGAGACAACTTTTGTACTTAATTAGTTTAGAGTCAGGGATCTGTCACAGCTGGTAGAAAAGGTCGATTTACTTCACTTAAGTTTTCCAGAAAACGATTGATATAGATTTTGAATGTATCCAAACAGTACAATAAGCATTAGAGAGATTTCATTTAAAAAAAACTATAAAGACGAACGGTGAGGAAACCCATTTACAGTATGTGAATAGGTGTTACAATTGCAGCTGCAAGATAAAGAGATTTCCAAGGTAGCTGTAACAACTTAGTGATATTATCGCTGGGCTGCTCATCAGAGACCCAGATAGTATTCAGGGTAACTGGGTTCGAATCCCATGGCAAATGATGCAAATTGAGTTCAATAAAACTCTAGAATTAAGAGCCTGATGATGATCATGTATCCATTGCCGATTGTTGGTAAAAATCTATCTGGTTCATTAATGTCCTTTGGGGAAGGAAACTTATCCCTAAATGGTCTCACCTACACATGACTCCAGAACTGACAACAATGTGGTTGACTTTTAATGGGCAATAAATGCTATCTAGCCAGTGACACCTTCATCCTGTGAATCAATAAAGTAAGGTCGAGTCAGACTTATATATAAAAACTTTCTACTGAAATTTATGTTGCAAATTTTCTAACAATTTGCATCCATTTATATCTTCTGTGATAAAGTTATTAAGGAAAACAGACTGTGTAACAGAAGTTGAAAGGTCCATAGTGATATATTATTGGCAATGAAGGTGCTGCAGCTGTTGAGTGTCTGGGAAGGAGGATAACTGTCAGGAATTTGGAATATGATTGAATAAAACATCTATTGTGAAAAGCTCCAAGGAGGGAGATAAGGGTGTCTGGGAAACATTATGAAATCATGGGAGACCCAAGAGTTATCCAGAAGACTGTCCATCACTGACCATGCAGTCACAATGATTAACCTCAGGGAAGTGTATGGAATAAATTAATAATATCACTGGCCTGTAATTGATAAAGACAGGCTGAAAACAATGTAGAAAAATACATTTTTTTTTACATTGAAGAAACATCTGGATTTCCATATGGTTCTTCCTAACTGTCATCCCAATAAACTCTTCGATGTTGGAAGTGGACCCTGAGAGTTGGATGCTTTATTTGGTCATTCTGCTCCAAGGACCAGACAGATCTTTCTGATGGGGGAATGCACCACTGGATGGATCTCAGGGTCTTTTATTCATGAATTGAACAATTGCTGTAACTGGATATTCCATCAAACTCTTGACCTGCTCTCTGAACTTGGACTGAGTCACCCCATAAATAAAAGTGTTTGTGCAGCAACTTAAATTCACCAACATCACTCCAATTTGTCTAAAGATAACTTCAGACTGTGTGTAGTGCCTGGGATCTGCCCCTGTAATGTGATAATATAGGAATTCTATAACAGAAACCAACCACAGGAGGATGAAGCTGCCAGATATGGCAAAGAGCAAAATCACAGACTTCCTTCGGTTCTCCATCTCTGGGTCTCTTGGATTCTCTCCCTTGCTTTCACCCCGCAATCTCTTACGAGCTTGACTGGCCACTAAAATGTGCCTGACTGTCAGTGCATTAAGCAAAAGAATTAAAGCAAATGGGAGCAATGGTGTCAAAACTGCATCTAACCATGAAAATCCCACCCATGCAGGATCATTATAAACGTTTGGTTTTACAACACAGAACCAAAGGACATTGTCGATTATCACCCAAGGTTCAAAGATAAAGTAGAAAGGGATGTTTCTTAAACAGAGCAGGGTGCAGGTTGTCGCTAGAACAACAATCGTGGTTCTCTCAGTGCAATACATTGTTTTCAGCTTCTGGCAACAAATGGACACATATCGATCAAAGGAAAAACTTACAGTAAACCAGACAGAGCAGTCTGTAGCAGCAGAGAGCAGGACAGCGCGAACACTGCAAACAGGGGTGATGTCCAGGAAAGTCATGTGGAAATAATAATAACTGATCCGCCGCAGTAAGACCTCAGTGAGAATGACCAGAAGATCTGCAGTTGCCATGGCCACGAGGTAGCGAGTGGTGCAGTTAGAGAGACCACACTGTCTGCAGGACAGGATCACAATTCCCAGTAAATTGGCTGCAAGACAGAGATGAAAATAGTGACCATGAGACCACAAGATAGAGTCTTGAAATGTTAAGCATGCTCTATGTTTGATTCAGGCATTGACAACAGTATTTTAACCTGATTGGCTTTTTAAAAATATTTTAATGAGCTAATATTTCACACAAAGATATCCTCCATTGCCCATTGGAACCATCAGGGCTGGCTGCCAAAGTTTGGGTATTCCCTGAGATCTTACTCTCAGCAAACTTGGACTACAGTCCCCAACTTGTTGAAACTCAACCAACTTCCCACTAACACTGTCTTCCCATTGTAGGAAATATGAAGTTTTAGAACCTGCACAGGAAGACACACTCCTCAGGTTTGAATACTCGCCTCGATGGGGCTCCAGCGATGAGGGACACCATCTGAAATAGGAACAGGAGTAGGCTTTTCTGAAGGAGGGTCTAGACACGAAACGTCAGCTTTCCTGCTCCTCTGATGCTGCTTGGCCTGCTGTGTTCATCCAGCTCTACACCTTGTTATCACAGGAGTAGGCTGTTCAGTTCCCCGAGCCTGCACCAACATTCAAAAGGATCATCCTGATCCAAAGTTCCTCATGTCCTTTACCAGCACTCCAGATGTGATCTCACCAGCATCTTGTACAGTTGTAATAAAACTTCAGCACTCTTATACTCCAACCCCCTGGAATAAGTCTTTCCTGTTGCCTGCCCTTCCAGTGTACTAGATTTCTGTGTTTAATGCACAATTACCCTCAGGTCCCTTTGAGTTGCAGCTTCCTCTAGTTTTTCCCTCAATAAATAATATCTTGAATCAATTGATTTTAACCCAGTTATGAAATCACTGTTCAGGACTTGCAGTAAATACCATCACTGTGATTAGTAATTTTCTTTGATAGTGAACAATCACTCAGTATTATTCTGAACTGTCAGATGCTCCCAAAAGTTAAATGTCAACAGGATCAGAAATCCAGACCAAGTGACCGGTTTGCAGAACACCTGTATTCAGTTTGTAAAGATGACAGCGAGCTTCTAGTTGTATGCAGCTTCAAAACCCTCCTCCACCCATTGTGTTCCCCGGCCAACATCTCTACATCAGTCCTGCTGCAATGCTCCAGTGAAGCTCAGTGCAAACTGGAGGACATACCCCATATCATTCACTTCAGTACCTTGCAGCGTTTAGGACTCAGCATTGAGTTTAACACTATCAGAGCACGGACACCGCTGTCCATTTTTGTCCCACAGCCCAACACCCTTAACTCCTGTTCTATCCAGGTTTCCCCTCATACAGACAATCCATTTTCACCTATTCACCCTTCCACCGAGCGTTCTAGCCAGCATTTTGCTTTCTCTCTCTCTCTCGCTCTCTCTCTCTTTCCCCCCCACCAACCCCTCCTCTCCCTCTGGGCACTTTCTCTATCAAACCGACTCAGTCCTTTCCTCCAACCACATCCTCCCAACCCCATCAACGGCAAAACAAAACAAATGCCCCCAGATGCTTTCATTTCAGAGAAAGATTCACAGAAACATAGAAGCAGGATGAGGCCATTCATCCCATCGAGCCTGCTTCACCAATCAATATGATCATAGAGTCATACAGTCCTACAGCATGGAGCCAGCCCAGAAGGGTCCGTGCCAACCAAATTGTCCATCTACGCTGACCCTATTTCCCTGCACTTAACCCATATCCTTCTAAACCTTTCCTACCCATGTATTCATCCAAATGCCTTTTAAATGTTGAGAATGTACCCGCCTCAACAACTTCTACTGGCAGCTCATTCCATATGAGTACCACCCTCTGTGTAAAACAGTTGCCCCTCACATTCCCATGTATTCTTTCCCCTCTTACCTTAAACTGATGCCCTCTACTCCTCATTTCACCAATCCTGGGAATGAGACTGAGGGCATTTCATCCTATCCATGCCTCTCATGATCCTAAACACTTCTATAAGCTCCCCACTCAGTCTCCTATGCTCTAAAGAAAAAAAAGTCCTAGCTTGTCCAATTACATTCAGCTCCCTCACCTGAATCATTAATATAGATTGTGAAGTGTTGGCATCCTAGCGCAGATCCCTGTAGTCCCCCAGTAGTTAGCGACTGTCATTCAGACAATAATCACTGGACTTGAAACATTAACTCTGCTTTCTCTCTCTCCACTGCTGAGCTTCTCCAACAATTTCTTTTTTCTGGATCAGGGATGCTGAACTGCTCGGAGAACTACACTGCGCGTAATTCTAACCTGATAGACATTGCTGGTGTTTCATGATCAATGGAATTAGACTTTCATCAATGAGCAGTGAACTAAAACAAGTCCAATCTACACTGACGGATTGCCCCAACAATTCTTGATATTGGGATCACAGACTTCTCTGGAAGCCTGTCCATATTTACTGTTGTGTTCTTATCAATTCCACTGACATCTTCACTCAGAGAACTCTATCCCCACTAAGGTTTGAAGGAATTTTACACAATATTGGACTAGGACCATAACACCATGAAAAAAAGGAATAGGAGTTGGCCGTTCAGCCCATCTAGCAGCTGATTCAACATTCTTCACATTCACATGGCTGCCCTTTTCCAATAAACCTTTGATTGAAGAATCTATCAATGTCAGCCTGAATACAACTTAATGATAATTGAGAAAGCCAGAATGTTAAAAGATGATTTATCACTGTGAATACAGGGTAACATAACAAAATTCATTCAAACCATTTCTCTTATTCGACTTTCATCACTGTGGGGTTCTGTACAAAGAGTAACTGTTTATATCAGAATGCAGTGTTATGAAACACAAACTAAAACTCGCAAGCAGCTCACACAGACATTTACAAACTTTCCATATTTACAGACACTCACCGGGAACACTTACGATGGCAAGAACCATATAATATATTTTCTGAATCTGGTCAACTTGCGAATACATCTTCAGTGTGTCGTGATCTCCCTTCACACTCATGCCACGTAACTTTTATTGAACTGCAAATTGGGATGTCTGTGATGACTTAAGTTTGTATCTGGTCAAGTCATCTCCTGAGGGGACTGATTTTGCAACATTTTCCAACTTATTATTTGAAATGAACAAACAGATTACGACAGCGAGTCAATTCCCTGTTGCAATCATTTTTCACATTAAGATGTTATTGCAGAATACACGCCTCACTGACTCAAAGACAGAAGTTTCACGGCGCCCTCACAGGTGCCATCCTCTCAAACGCAATCAGTCACATTTACAGACCGTGTTTTGTTTCCATATTGGACAATGACTGCTCAGACAATAAATTCTAAATGGTTGATGCCTCTCCAAATTTTTTTCACTTGTGGGACATGGATGATGCTGATGGTATAACATTTCTTGTCCATCGCTCATTCCCACCTTAGGAAGGTGAGGCTGAGCTGCCTTCATGAACGTCTGCAGCCTGTGTGCTTTTGGCAGATGGTGTTCGGGAGGGAACTCCAGGAGTTTGAGACAAAATTCTGTTCTATCGCACTCTGGGGTGTCACTGTGCAGATATTAACCTACAATTGCCAGGTCAGCCAAAATGAATGGCAGGGCACCTTCGTAAGTAAATTAAGGATGGGAAATAAATGGCGCCCAGCCAGCGATGCTCATGTCCCACGAGTGAAGAAAGAAAGGTCAAAGTGATCCTGTCCGCAGACCCCTGAAGCTAGGAAGACAGGCTAATAGGAATGCAAGACAACAAGGTGCAGAGCTGGATGAACACAGCAGGCCAAGCAGCATCATAGGAGCAGAAAAGCTGACGTTTTGGGCCTAGACCCTTCATCAGAAATGGGGGAGGGGAAGGGTGTTCTGAAATAAATAGGGAGAGAGGGGGAGGCGGATAGAAGATGGATAGAGGAGAGGATAGGTGGAGAGGAAACAGACAGGTCGAAGAGGCAGGGATGGAGCCAATAAAGGTGAGTGTAAGTGGGGAGTTAGGGAGGAGATAGGTCAGTCCAGGGAGGATGGACAGGTCAAGGGGGCAGGATGAGGTTAGTAGGGAGGAGATGGGGGTGCAGCTTGAGGTGGGAGGAGGGGATAGGTGGGAGGAAGAACAGGTTAGGGAGGCGGGGACGAGCTGGGCTGGTTTTGGGATGTGCGGTAGTGGGAGGGGAGATTTTGAAGCTTGTGAAATCCACATTGATACCATTGGGCTGCAGGGTTCTCAAGCGGAATATGAGTTGCTGTTCCTGCAACCTTCGGGTGGCATCGTTGTGGCACTGCAGGAGGCCCAGGATGGACATGTCGTCTGAGGAATGGGAGGGGGAAGTTGAAATGGTTCGCAACTGGGAGGTGCAGTTGTTTATTGCGAACCGAGCGTAGGTGTTCTGCAAAGCGGTCCCCGAGCCTCCGCTTGGTTTCCCCGATGTAGAGGAGGCCACAACGGGTACTGCGGATGCAGTATACCACATTGGCAGATGTGCAGGTGAACATCTACTTGATGTGGAAAGTTTTCTTGGGGCCTGGGATGGGGGTGAGGGGGGAGGTGTGGGGGCAGGTGTAGCACTTCCTGCGGTTGCAGGGAAAAGTGCTGGGTGTGGTGGGGTTGGAGGGGAGTGTGGAGTGGACAAGGGAGTCACGGAGAGAGTGGTCCCTCTGGAAAGCAGATAAGGGTGGGGAGGGAAAGATGTCTTTGGTGGTGGGGTCGGATTGCAGATGGCGGAAGTGTCGGAGGATGATGCATTGGATCTGGAGGTTGGTGGGGTAGTACGTATGGATGAGGGGGATTCTTTTTTGGTTGTTATTGCGGGGACGGGGTGTGAGGGATGAGTTGCGGGAAATGTGGGAGACACGGTTGAGGGCGTTCTCGACCACTGAGGAGGGGATGTTGCATCTCCCAAACCATCCACAATCTCATCACCTCAGGTGACCTCCCACCCACGGCCTCCAACCTCATCGTTCCCCAACCCCGCACCGCCCGCTTCTATCTCCTTCCCAAAATCCACAAACCTGAATGCCCTGGTCGACCCATTGTTTCCGCCTGCTCCTGCCCCACCGAACTTATCTCCAACTATCTGGACTCCATTTTCTCCCCCTTGGTCCAGGAACTCCCTACCTACGTCCGTGAAACCACCCACGCCCTCCACCTCCTCCAGAACTTCCAATTCCCCAGTCCCCAACACCTCATCTTTACCATGGACGTTCAGTCCCTATACACCTGCATTCCCCATACAGATGGCCTAAAGGCCCTTCACTTCTTCCTGTCCCACAGGCCCGACCAGTCCCCCTCCACTGACACCCTCATCCGCTTAGCCGAACTCGTCCTCACCCTCAACAACTTCTCTTTCAATTCCTCCCACTTCCTACAGACAAAGGGGGTGGCCATGGGTACCCGCATGGGCCCAAGTTATGCCTGCCTCTTTGTAGGTTACGTGGAACAATCCCTCTTCCGTACCTACACCGGACCTAAATCCCACCTCTTCCTCCGTTACATTGATGACTGTATCGGCGCTGCCTCGTGCTCCCACGAGGAGCTCGAACAGTTCATCCGCTTAACCAACACCTTCCACCCCAACCTTAAGTTCACCTGGACCATCTCTAATACCTCTCTCTCCTTCCTGGACCTCTCTGTCTCCATCTCGGGCAACCACCTAGAAACTGATATCCATTTCAAGCCCACTGACTCCCACAGCTACCTAGAATACACCTCCTCCCACCCACCTTCCTGCAAAAATGCCATCCCCTATTCCCAATTCCTTCGCCTCCGCCGCATCTGCTCCCAGGATGAGGCATTCCACTCAGATGTCCTCATTTTTCAAGGACCGCAACTTCCCCCCCTCAGTGGTCGAGAATGCCCTCAAACGTGTCTCTCACATTTCCTGCAACTCATCCCTCACACCCCGTCCCCGCAATAA